ATTATAGTAAAATGATATTTTCATTTTACTATGATTAGGTATAAAGTAAAAATTGACTAACAAAATAAATTTCATTAAATACGGGACATAATAATAATACCATTTTAAAAGTAATATTATTATATAGGAAATCGTATTAAGATATACTAAGATTATTATGAATTGACTCTTATACACTCCCCCCCCCCCCCCCCCAAAAAAATAGTATTTACCCCCCCCCCCCCCCCCCCCCCCCGCCCAGAAAAAAATTGTATCTACACCACTGCTCACCCGCAAAACAACCAATGTTTATCTAATTCTGTAAATAACAAATTTGAAATCACAATTTATTTCACCACAACGTGTATTCGATATTAAAGATAACAAATACCAATCATTCAAAAAACAGATTTGCATTACTTTACATGTGTGTTACAGCAAAATACTCGTAGTGTTGATTTTAACCGAAAAAATAAGAAAACCGTAATAAATTTTTACATTTGCTCGTTTCAAATAATAATTCAATAATTATTATTGTCGAAATGAGCGTAAAACTAATGTGACTAGCCAAATAAAAAATTGAATAATAATAACAATAAGCCGAATATCGTTTATATAGTAAATGATACTATAACAATAGTTATTTGTTATTTATCCGACAGTTGGACATTTGATAGTTCGAGACCGTAAAGTTAGAAGTTAAAATAGTACATATTTATCTACGCATTATGGACGTAGAAACAACTGACAGTAGTCCCGGAATAGAATTCGTTATGGCCAGGAGAAGAGGAAAGAGTAGGAGAAGCAGAAGCCGAAGAAGCAAGAACAGGAGGAGCAGTCGTCGCCGTCGTCGTAATATAAGCGGTGGCACCGACGATGATGATGCGGAAACGACCGACAGTGGTTCCGAAGTACAATATGTAGTGGCTAGGAGGGGTAGACGTAGGAGAAGGGGAAGAAGCAGTCGTCGCCGTCGTCGTAATATAAGAGGCGGAACTGATGACGATGATGACGCGGAAACGACCGATGGCGGTTCCAATGTAGAATTCGTTGAGGCTAGGAGAAGAAGACGTAGGAGAAGCAGGAGAAGCAACCGTGGCCGTCGTCGTAGCATAAACAGTGGAACTGATGATGAAGACGCGGAAACAACCGGCGGCGGTTCCGGTGTAGAATTCGTTGAGGCTAGGAGAAGAAGACGCAGGAGAAGCCGAAGAAGCAGTCGTCGTCGTCGTCGTAACATAAGCGGTGACACTGACGATGAAGACGTGGAAGCAACCGACGGCGGTTCCGATGTAGAATTTGTTGAGGCTAGGAGAAGAAGACGTAGGAGAAGCAGGAGAAGCAACCGTGGCCGCCGTCGTAGCATAAGTGGTGGCGCTAACGATGATGACGCGGAAGCAACCGACGGCGCAGCCGATGTAGAATTTGTTGAGGCTAGGAGAAGAAGACGTAGGAGAAGCCGCAGAAGCAGTCGTCGCCGTCGTCGTAGCATAAGCGGTGGCGCTGACAATGATGACGCGGAAGTAACCGACGATGAAACGGGAATAGTGGTGGCCAGGAGAGGAAAGAGTAGAAGGCGAAGAAGCCGAAGGAGACGAAGACGGTCTGGCAGCCGTAGTCGCAGTGGATTGGACGAGTCCACTAATGAAATGATGGACGCGCCAACAACATCATCAGCCTCCGAAGACTTGACCGTCACACGTAATGAGGACCAACCGCCCGAGTAATTTCTCGTTTTTTATCTATCATAATCGCATTTCTCGAATAAAGACACAATTTCACGCGAATCGAGTATTTTTTTCATGCTACACAACCAGAATCATGTTTTAGATTCTTCCACCTAGGGGCAACAACATTTTTCCACCCCTGTTCCCTGAAGTGTAAAACTAAAAATAAGTGTCTCCAACTATTCATTGAAAACCCGCTCACAATTCGTTTTTCCCATTTCAGTACACTATTACATAATATTTGTAACTAATATCAAATCCAAAATAATAACTGAGTTATAATTATATAAATAAATTGATAGAAAATTGTGATGACTGATATATGTGAAAGACTGATGGTGGCACTTTTAAATAATTTAGTGCCTTTCGGTCTGAATGCCCCACACCCATACAAAACAAGACAATACCAATACCTATATGTCAATAAAATACTATGTCAAATAAAATACCCTTAAATGTATATACATTTTTTACGCTACTAAATAATTAAATGATTTTATAGTATAATATATAATTTTATTTATTCAAAAATAATTTTCCATTGAGAATACAAAAAAATCGATTTGGTTTTATTTAAAATCACTGTAAAATATTTCAGGGGAGCTATTACTCCCTGAACCGCCCCTTAAATACGGCTCTGTACACATCAGTACATTACTGAATATTGTATAAGCGTAACATAAACAGTGGTGCGCCTACCAGAGAAGAGGGAGGGAGTGTCAAAAACGGAGGTCTCCAAATGCTTACCGGCTTCAAGGAGCCACGGGCCAAACAACAATGGTTTATTTCCGTACAACTAAACATATATCAAAATCTCAATAATCGGTGGCAGTATGGTAGTATCGAATTTACTTAGCACATTTGTCAATATTATTTGTCTAATAAAGGAAATAAAAATCATATTATTGCGATTATTGGTCTTGTATCAGTAATATTGTAACATTTCTAGTGTTTAACAATTTTTAAATTAATTTTAATAAAAGAAATAGCTCTCTTAGTTGTGTTACACATTAAGCAAAAAAGGGAATTATTATCAAAAAAAGAAGAAAACGCACAAAGGCTTTTTGGGCGTACAGCAAGATACGTAGAAAGTGATTATTAGGAAATATACTATTAGGAAATTTTAAACATAAAATCCTCAAAACAAAATATAATTAGACGCCATTTTTATAATCCATAACCATTAAAATAAATGGTTCTACATTCAAATTGATATTTTTTAAATATATAAATGCACGAAGAACTAAAAAATAATAATTCCTTTAAAAAAAAAATTGTAATTATATTTCAACACAATAAAACGCAATCAATTATAATACAATTTTAGTATTATTTTATAATAGTAAAATTTTATATGTTTGTATAAAATACTTTTTCTCTTAAAAATGTTATATGTAATTGAAAACATTGAAAACGGTAAAATTGGTTTTTTACTCGTAATATGAATCTTTTGAAGTAAGGCAGTACACTAATGTCGTAGGTATTGACAATATACAAACATTAACTAATGAATAATAGTATAGGAGAAAACTTTTGAAAACAATTAGTAATCATATTTTTTTTCCAAATTATCTTAAATAGTATTATTTTGCCTAAGTAACTCATTCTACCCTGTTAGAACTGATAGAAATAAAACTTTTTCATATAGTTTTTAATTTTTAAGCCCTAGCAGATAGTATAAATGTTTATTGTAATTAAACTGCATGAACAATCAATCACGTATAAATAAGAGTACAAATTTATTAATTTTTAAATCGGCTTAAAATATTAAAATAATACAACTAATTTAATTATTTGCTATTTTTAATTTACAGAAAACATTTTTGTATGTAAATAATTATATACAATTTAAGATTGATAATTTTAAATAAATAATAAAAAATTTCATTACTCATGAATAGTTGTATACAGTGGAATATGTAGGTTTTTATTTCGTAGGGGGTTAATTTTGTATTTGATTTTTGGGGGAAAGGAAGGTGGAAGCACACTATTACGACAAAAATTACTTTAACAATATAAGACTTCTCAACTGTCTTTACACTATCAGAGAAATAAGAAACTCAATTTTTTTAAAGTATAAAAACTACATTATAATAAACAATTTTTTTATCAGAGCCACTCAAAATTCATCACATATTTTCTTAAAAGAATAAACATATTTTATAAATATAAAATTTTAAATTATCGCATAAGCAACATTCTCAGTATCGCGACAAATTTTAGGAAACCCCCAGCACTAAAACATATCCATATTAAAAATAACAATTTTTAACAATGGTGTTTTTCATTTCGGAGAAAACCCGCTCCCCTACCACATAAATACGTCGTTAGTAATATAAAATATAAAATGCTTCACTATATTGTTTTAATGTATATTTTTCTTTTTAATTCTTTTACAAATTATGTTCTCCTAGTTTGTAGCAAATAAAAATAAATTGTCTCTTTTAATTATGGGCTAAATAATATTTAACTTGCTACTATTAAACATTTTCAACTTAAAAGTAAATTTTTGAATTATATTTAAGAAATCTATTTGTTATCAATTCCAATAACAACATTCCCACTTAGTTACCTACTCTTAATAATTTAATTTGTTTGTTTAATAAGATTTAATGCTGCATCGTCTATTAAATAATAAATATCCTCATTTTGGAAAAGTTAATAACATAAAACGTTATTGGTTTCCATACCAAACCTTGGTTGTAAGAAGACAACTAAGAACTCTTAGAACTCTTAACTCTATGAATTACCCACTAGCTAATCTTTATAGTTAAAATAATTAAATCTCCAAGTAAATACAATTTATTTATTTTTTTTTTTTTTTATTTAAATTTAAATCTATGAGATTACTGGGCCTCACTGAGACATACTCGTGTGGAAGTATAATTTGAATGATTAACCCTTAAATGGAATTATGTCTTAAACACCAACCTATTAGATGTACAAATCTTGAAAGTTTTTAAGATCTACAACTTATTAAACAAATGATGTTTTAATTTGGAAAAAATAATAATCAGTCTTAATGTATTAGGAATTAATAAAATAATTCAAAATGTATTTTTGTAATAATATTGGCAATACATTTAATGTTTATTCAGGTTATAATCAGTACATTATTTTCCAATTTCATTAGTAATAATTTTGCTTATTGATTATTTTAGATAATTAAAACATGAAAAAAGTATTTATGAAAACTAGAAAATCAAAAAACTAAAATTTATTGCAATTATATATTATAAAAATAACTTATTAAATTTTTTAAACTTTATCAATAATAAGACAAGTAAGAAAATATCATATTTTATATAATATATTTTTTTTAAGAATTGAAATATGTATATCAAATACATTTAAATTATAAGCTCGATAAATGTTGAAAGACACAGTCATTTATGTTTTTTTAATCTTTACATAAAATTATCTGAGTCATATCCAGAGTAATCGGTATTTGGTGTCATATTTTCCGACTTCATAAGAGATGAATACGATCTATAAAATATAAATAAATGTTAAAATAAGTATTATTAAATTATTCATATTTATTATCACCTCAGTTCAGCAGCTTCACGTTTTTGACGATCTTCTTCTTTTTTATTTTCTATCTGAATTTTACGTTCAATTTTTTTCTTCTCTGCTTCTCTACGATCTCTGTCTGCTTTGTCACTGTCATAATCGATTTTAATAGATTTTTCGGTTTTATGCAGTCTATTAACAATGCTCTTTTCTTTTTTTACATTTACTTTTTTCACCTAGACAAAATTATTTCTATGAATTTGTTTTACTTAAACATATAATACAAACTTACAATACTAGGATTGTGAAACGAGACTTCTCCTGGTTTCATCCCTGGTAATTTTTTAAGATTTGACCACATGGTGTAGATCACCTTAACTTCAGCTAATTTACATCCTTGAATACTGTTTGCCTTAACAAGTTGACATGCATCTTCTAATAATTCCTTAGGAATGTTATCTATTGTTTGACCCTACAATCAATTTTAATAAGAAATGTAAAATGCAATATACTATTTGATTGTACAAGATATGTATATAAGTTCACGATTAAATATTAATTAGGCATAATTTTACTATTGTACCATTATAAATAAATCAAAATCCAATTTGCTATTTTAAAATACATGAATATTTTTTCTGAATTTGATTATAACTAATAATGTATAATATACCTATGTATTAATAAATTATTATTATTATTTTTATTTTTTTATTATTTTATATTATTATTATTATTATTATTATTATGACTAATAGTTCAATATTGCCGTATATATTAATTTTGCATAAATTGTACTGATTATGAGGAATATTATAAGTTACAAATTTAAATTTCAAAGAATCACTTCAAAAATCACAAAATAAAAAGTTCAATTTAAAATAATACCTCTTTTAATCTTAGATACACATGTGCTGATGATATATTTTCCACATGAAACCAAACATCCTCGGGCAGCATATTTTCAATAAGTTCATCATCTAAAAAAAATATTATATATTATTAATATATAATTTTTATATTAGTAGATTTAAATATAAATATAATAAACAAAAAATGAAATGCAATCATTTTTTTTTTTTAGTTTTAAATTAATTATTCAATACAATGTATTTTTTTTCATAATATAACTTTTTAAATTTTTTTTATCAATAAATTAATTACATACCATGTGTAATTAAAAATTTTATGATTGATTATAAAAATAAAAATATTTGATGATTTTTTTTTTTAAATCCTTTAGTTATCTATTATTTTCATATTTAAATCCTTTAGTTATCTATTATTTTCATATTTACTATATTTGGTATAAAACACTAAATTATTGTGCAAAAATAGGTACATATTTATATATAACATTTAATATCGAGGTGTTCAAAATGGCAATTAAGCAAATAGAATAATTTTGATTTGAACTATATAATAAAAAAAGTACATTATTGATACAAACCTAAAAATGTATTCAGTCATTGTAACATTGTACTATGTATGGATTTATAAAAAATATTTGTTAAAAACTACATCATCAAGTACTATCCAAATAAAATTTTACACAAAGAATATATCATATATAAAATCCTACTAGGATATATAAGACAGCTATTTATAAACACAAAAATGTTCTTGTTCTGTTTCTTAAAAGAGAGGTCTATTTGTTTTATCCAGTTCAGAAAAATTTCACCGTCATCCAAGCACGATTTATATTTTAATATTAAGTACATAAACAAGGTGAACATCATATCGGAGAACATAGAGCGTTTATCCAGAGTCAATTTCATGTTAAATAATGTCAAAATCAAGGGACTTGTAAAAATGAGCATATTAGATGGGATATCGTGTTAAGGGAGAATGTCTTAAATGGGTTCTACTGTATGTACATTAGTCATCGAGGAGAATGGTTATAAAAAAAAATAAAAATGGTATCAATTTTTGCTTACTTTCATGACTGTCTACTCCTCTCACCAAGTTGACAGGCGGGTCGACAGCTGAAAAAAAAAATAAAAACAAACACCGATCGTTTGAGAAAAAAAATTGAAGTTGATCAACGTCATAAAGCAAACGGAACTTAAGTCACCTGTACTTGTGTACTGCAACACCATTGCGCCGCGACAACGTGGCTGATCGTTTCGACGTTACCGGTTCTCGGGCCACGCGAAAGGACGTTTACCGGTGTTGAGATGTCGGTAGATGATCGCGATAAGGGGCAAAATGAACAAGAACGTATTCGCGCGCGCGACAACGGTGCAATCGATCGTTAATGAACGGATTTAGGTTTTCGACGGACAGTAACGGTCTGCGGTTGCGAAAGCGATATCCGGTTTCTGCGATCGCGTAGCCTGAACAACACGGGTCGAATGGCGTTCGCCTCCAACAACGATCGTCACTTGCGTGTGTAATTAACAAAGGGTAATGGTATGAGAATTCTTATTGGCTCGTGTTCAAGAACCAGGGATGATGGTGATGACGACCGTGCGAACGATCGGACAGACGACCGGACCAACGGGCGCGAGAGTGCGGAAACGCGAACGGTTCCGGCGGCATGCAGAAATAACGTGTTGATTACGGTTATCGCTGATAACATTGAACGTTTACGTTTTTTAATGTGTCACGATAACGGGACGGCGGCGAGACAAGATCGCAACGGCACTCCAACGATCGCGCCCGTTCGGTCGGCCATGTTTTTTGGCGAACACGCTGTTATCATATTTGTTTTCGTTTCAACACAACCACGATTGAAGATGTGTATCACGGTTAATAACCGGTAGATAACCGTGATGTATATAAATATGTCTATAGATTTATAGATGTGTATGTTCAATCGTGAACACAACTTTGCTCACGACCGACGGTGAACAGTTCCGGATTCGATTCAATTCGGACGTATTTTGTTTGCCGTCGTTGTTGAGCAATTTACACACGTTTATTCGTAATCATGGATCACGTGTGTGCCGTGATATCGTGCAGGAATAGCAAATTGCGTACAAAAGAACATGGCATCAAAATGCACAGGTTTCCTAGGGATATGCCTCGGTAAGTAAATTCAGTCCGTATTTTCTTCAAACGATCATAATCAATTACTTCGTGTGTTTAATCGTTTTAGTCGTTATCAATGGTTAACGAACTGTAACAGATTAGATCTTCATAACAAAATTGCAAACAACTATCGTGTCTGCGACAAACATTTTACTTCTAAAATGTATACGAACTCTGAACAAACATTTTTATTGCCAACAGCTGTTCCTACCCAGTTCAGTTAGTAAACAAATAATTATTAATGGTATATTTTTCATTTATTTATACTTGGTTATTATTCCTTTAGAAGCAACTGCTGTTTTTACTGATGCATCTACAGTAAAAAGAAAAAATGATTTTCTTTTCAAGAAACTCGATAGTTCTGGCAAACTGAAAAAATCAAACATTTCAATTTCAAAATCTTGTAAATATAGAAGAAATTAACTTTGTAAACTATAGTATAATAATTATTTTGTAATTTATTATTAAAAAGGTGAAATGTCATCAAACGGAATCACAATACCAGAATGTAGTGAAACTTCTACTGTTACTTGCAGCCAAACAACACAGCTGCAATCTGTTAACACACCTAAAAAGAAAAGTATAAGTTCCTCAGTTCCTAAATTGAAAAATAAATTCAAGACAATATCAGAAGGTAAGCATACTAATAAAACACTAATTTCAGAAATGCTTAAATCTGTCGATCATTTTAATGAAGTTAAAGATTTGCACTTGTCAACCAATTTAATAATGTTGATGAAAAATTATGTAAAATTAGTTAATAGAAAACTTCTATACTCGTAAATTAGTCAACTTAAACAATTTGCTCTTACAATTTATTTTTTTTTTTTTTTTGACCCATTGTATATAGATATTTAAAAAACATTTTACAACTATCTAGATCTAGAAAATTATAAAGAATTACATACAGAAAATTGAAAGCGCAAGATTAAATTATATTTTATTTAATTATATTGTACTAAAATTAAAAAATTTAAAAGACGATGCAAGAAACGGTATTTTATGTGTAGATGAAATGTCCATCAAAACAAATCTGTTTTATAATTTATTAAAATACTGTATTTTTGGTTTAAGTCATCAATCTTGCAAAACATGTTGTTTGTTTTATGATCGGAAATCATTTTTACTGTAATTTCTCGACTGAAAAGTATTTCAGTTAACATCACAGTTTTTACTACTAATCAAGGAGCAATTTTTTTTTAGTTTTGCTAATGAGATATATGTAGTAAACATTCTTATTTCTTTATGAATCTTTTCAAAATAATTTATGTATTTGTTGAGTCAACAAGAAACAATATTTTAAATATCGTCTTGAAGTTTCAAATAACCTGACAGATACTTAAATGATTTTTAAAAGCTGACCAAAGTATAAATCGCTGTGCACCTTAACTCACTGATACATACATTACTCCAGGACTATTTCAAAAAATTAAAGTATCTTATGTTTATATTATCTTATATCTCTTAATCTTTTTTTGTGGTTATACGATTATTAAGGTTGCCTCATGAGTAAAAAAAACAATCCCAAACCCCTTACACCTTTCTCTGCCCTGTAACATCATAGTTGTATAAAATCAGGGGCTTGCTATATTCCATACATATTTCGCTGTACAATTTACCCTATTTATTTTCAAAAAGAATACACACATTGAACTCAAAAAATGTAATATATATATATATTAATAAAACCATATATTTCTAAACAAGATTCATTAAACAAAACTCATGCATTTTTAATTATTTTAACACATTTAGTAATATCTAGTTTATTTTGAAACTGTTTCCTTGATTAATAGATATTTTTAAAAGTTTAGATTCTTGTTTTAATTACCTATATTATTTACTTAATCTGTCAAAATTATCATCTCTCTTAAATTAATCTGTTGAACAGTGAAATTGAAGAACTATATTAAAAAAATTATTTGAGCTAATACTTTGCGACCAATAACTGCAAATCTATCGAGCAAAATAATTTTTAGTCTTTTTATTTAATGTTTGTATATTCGCTTATAAAATAAATTAATGTATAAAGTTAAAAATTCATGTTAAATTTTTATTCACTGTATTATATATCATTTTTATCCCTTTAAATATTCTATTTTGTGTGTATAACTGTAACTTATAAATGCATATATAAAATAATATTTAAGTGTTTGCTGAATAATGAATTATATAATTTACTAACAATTATTGTCAAATATTAGGTACTTCCAACACTTTTTTGTGCTGCATACAGATATCATTCTTATGATAACGTAAAAATAAATACTGTATCCCTAATAAAATCAAATTGTGCTCCCTGTATTAAAAATGTGTGTTGGATTTTGGATGTCTCAACCCCTGCAGGATCTTTTGGTATGGAAATCTATCAACGGTAACTATTTAATTAAAAATTTACCCCTAAAAACAGATATATTTTAGGCCCTAGCATCATGTGATCTTCATTAAACACATTTTGTTCTCAATTACACTTTCATTGCATATTGAAAAATTATAAATCAATAACTTATTAGAACTTAATTGTAAAATTACAAATCTCAGCTGTAACTCATCAATACAAGTATAATTTTGCAAATAAATAAAACCATTTTTTTTTAGTGAACAACAGATATACCTAAATATTTCTTAAAAATCTCAACCACAAATTATAACAGTAGTAATATCCGGTTATCTTCCAGTGTAATGGAATAAAGTAGTCCCAGAGGCGTACCCAAGAATTTTTTATGGGGAGAGAGGTCCAACATTTTTATTTTATCTGTTCTCTAATTATAATTTTAGTTTAATTCAATACTAACAAATTACTGTTAAGTAATAGGCACAATAGTTATACGCACATCACACATATTATAAACAAAAATTTACTGCAATAGGAAGGTACCATAATTTGAAATCAATTTATATTTGGTAGTAAAATTTTATAAGAAAATACATTATTTAATTAATAAATAATAATAATTTTTCAATAAATAGTAAATATTCAAAGTGATTTAATAAACATATCCTATCACATCCACTCTTCAACGGTTGAACTGGCGGCACGCAATAAGATTATATAATATAATTTAAAATAAATAATAATTATATTAAAATTTTTAGTTCCTGCTTTTTAATATAATTTATTGTTGTTAATAAATTATTTTATTATTTAAATCCAAAAAACATTTATTCATTGAAATTAATTCTAAGTATAATAATCACTGATCCATCTAGCATGGAGGTGCTTGCTAAGCTTGGACTAACACACATCTGAATCTTGGTATATTCTAACCCCCTTATATATTCTGATTCTGTGGTAATCTACCTGTATGGAATTGTGCCTTTCCCCCATTGGTTAATGTCTTGACCTGGTTTGAGTATTTAAAATAATCCCCTAGTCAGCAAATTAGCTTTTTCGATAACATAAGTCTACTCTTGTATGTTTTATTACTTAACTGGTTTTGATACTTCTACATTAAAGACAATGTGCCCTCATGTTAATCACACCCGAGTATATTATATTAACCAACTGAATTATGTGATGCTCCCATGTAATGGCCTACATTATGTATACCAGTAAGAGTCGTAAGGACCTACATCTATGTATATGTCCAATAACAATCTATAAACGTTGTATATTGAAAATAATGGGAAATTAAAATACACTATGTTTTATTATGATACTATTTACTATTAAATCATTGAGTATGTAGACATTTCATTGGGGGGGTTCTGGTTTGAACCGAACCACCCCTGGGGTAATACTTAGTCCTATTAAAAATGATTATAAGCAATGTACTATATTGAGATAATTGAACTTAAAATGTTTAATATTCCACCAATGGTAAAATATTTTTACTGAAATATCACTAAAAGCAATTAAATTCTATTATGTTAATTTTTCTTTTCCATATAGTATAATTTGTATTTACATACATTAGTATTAATATATAGATTTCATATTTATAAATAACTTCGGTTCTCCAATTGAGATCCCTATTTTATGATCTATAAAATTATAACAATCTTCATACAATAATAAAAATAGTTATATATAAACCTATATATTATATAATAAAAATAATAAAATCCTATTCTATAATAAAATCCTTTATATTTTAGTTAAAATTTCTTCTTAATATTTATTCGGTTGAGATAAAAATATATTTTTTGGAATAAATGTGATAAGTTTATACTTATATGCAGTATACACAAACAAGAGTTTATTTGAAATTTTTTTTTATTACGAAATTTTTAAACTTAAATTATATATTTCATTTTATTTTAGAAGTGATATTTTCTATGAATTCATGCATTAAAATTAAATTAGATTAATTATAATATTTATATGTATAATATACACTGTATATTCATAAACATATTATAATTTAACTTAGTAATTACAACTGATTATCTATTCAAAATTATAACATATATTTCCTTTTAAATAAATACTTGAGCAATTTAAAAGTAACACATATTATTTAATTAAATTCTATAACTATAATATTATTTACAATATAAAATAAAATATATACTTAAGTCTTTTAGTAACCTTTAATCAGATTCTAATAAATTATATTTTCGATGCATTTCAGCGACTGTAACTCCTTCTATAATAGCTAGTCTCCCCAAAACTTCTTGAGTGGCATCCTTAATTTCATTGTATTGATGTAAGGCTTTCATAATTTCATCTCTTTCTTTCTTCTTTTTCTCTAATATTTCTATTTCTATATCTAGTGAAATTTCCAATTCATCTAAGTGTTGTTGGTTGTCCTTAAATATCACAATTATCAATCGTAAATAAATCATAATATACAATAGTAATAATTATTAATTGATAAAAAATAACATTAATTTAACTTAAACCATTAACATTTGTAAAATGAAAAAGTGTGAAACTCCTAGGTTAGGTGAGATATAGGGATGGGTGAAATGTATTATCATACCTATTGGTTTTTTAATCTTACTGTGGTATCATTGCTTTCAAAAAAAAAAAAAAACATTCTGAGTGAAAAAGGTTGAGTGAATCAGTTAATATTTTTAAAGATCGTTGATGTACTAGGAGAACCAAATGAATGTAAATTAAACTATAATGTTCTAAGTTTCACAAAAAAAAAAAAAACATTTATAATTTGGGGAAATTTAAAATTGTTTTTGCCTATAAACAGTACAAATTGCATTAAAATAATTAATAACTATGAAATTTCTTTAAATTAATAATTAATATCGTTTATTAGACATTTTATGGTTCTAATTTTATCAAAATTTTATTTTGAAACAATTATAAATATTTTTTGTGACTTTCCAGTCACTTTTTTTTTCTTCTTTTTTATTTACAAAAAAATTATGAAAAATCTTAAATCTAATTTTCAAGCCTTAAGTATAAAAACTGAAGCACTAAGCACTTTTGATTACAAACATTTTGTAGGTTTTCGTTATTAATATTGTTTTATCAACATTTAATACTCAAACACTTGTAAAACTATTTTATTGCTATTGATATGTATTGAGAAATTAAACAAATAACTCTCTCTCTAATGTAGGAACTGGAACCCATTTGCTATCTTTTAACTTTTACGTTTATTAATTACGTATAGGAGCAATCTTTCTAGTTGAAATTGTGTAAATCAGACAAAAAAAATTTCTCATTTCGCTAAGAATTTAATAAAACAGTCAAATTGTATGGTATGTATAACAATTTTATTAAATATAATTACCATATTAATCCTATTAAAATTAAAGTTACCATCAGAAATATTAAAATATTTATCATTTGCACTTGAAAAATTTTATAAGCAAATAATATTAAACAAATAATTGCATTTCACTTTAATTTGATATTAAGTGTACAAAGCATATTATATTTAAATTATATTTTTAAGTTTCTAAAAATATTTTTATTTATCTTTTCTAGCGACTAAGTTTGAAAATATAATTCCAACTTAAGAATAATTTTTTAAAAGCCATATTAATAAAATTGTATACAATTATAAATAAGATAGAGAAACCTAAATACCCATTGGGACTGCACCTAGTTTGTAACCTGAAATTTTTATTTAATAAAATTTGTTTATTTATTTATTATTTTAAATAATAAAAATGTTTACACTTAGATATACATTAAATATGTATATATTTTTATTTGACAAAAAATTTTATGTATTTTTGGTAGGTAAATATTTTAACAGTTAAAAATCAAATTACCGATTCAGATGAATTACTAATTTTCATATTATCATTGTTATCCATGATTCTACTTTGACTGCTTTGTATCTGCAAATGTAGACTTATCTTTTGGTATTTCCAAATTCAAAGATGTTTGTTCGTATTGTATTCCGTATTCTTTCATACCATGCTATTTAAAAATAAAAACAAATAATGTAATTGTGGTTAAAGTTCATTTATCATTTTAACACAATAAACATACTTTTACACATTCAGTGTACAATTCAAATACTTTTTGACACTCTTGATTGTTATAATGACCATTCATATAATGTTCGGTAAACCAGACATTAAAACATTGATCATACTGATATTTTAAATCATTACATTTGGGATGAAAGCTGTCAAGTCGATCAGCACTTGAAGTAGCAGTAGCAGGGGAGCTATTATTACTATCACCCATCTATGATACAAATAATACAATATATTGTACAATACTTAATGATTGTTATTTAATAATAATAGCTAATAAAACAATAAAAGTCAAAATCATGAACAATTAAAAATGTATTTATATCCTGTCATTTCATAAAGAAATAGGTACATTAACATTCTGTTGTTCTTCAGAAAATAAGTATAAGTGATAAAAAATAATAATAATTTAGTTAATACTGATCTCCAATAATGGATACCAAAATAAAGTTACTCTTCAGTTTCATGAACTACATTTTTCAGTAATGTTAGAAATATCTTGCAACCGAAATTAAAATTTATATATTAAATTAGCACTAATAAAACAGATTGTATTGAATTGTTATCATTGAATTATTATATATATATATATATATTATTATAATGTATTTATTTATATTTATTTAAAATATTTATTTCATTTTGCAAACATTACTATGAAAATACAATAAAATGTAAAAGATTCTTGATAATAATATTTGCTCATAATTTTGAATTGATTACTATTAAGAAAATAATTAAATTTATTCATAATGATATAGGTATTCTTTAAACATAACTAGTAGTGCAACTTGATTGTATTTTAAAAGTAACTCGCTAAACAGTAGCTGTCAACTCACTCATACCTGTGTTTATCAACCAATTTATTTTCGGTGTGCCTCCAGAGACAAACACATACATAATTGAAAACTTGTCGTGCTTACTTATGGCGCTATCGGAGTGAAAATGACTTGAACTTGTATACGTCCACGTATCCGATGTTATTTCAAATTTACGATAGAATTTCACTCGTACGGACGACAATTGTGATTTACAGACGATGTACGGATTTCGATTGAGTTTCGGACGCTGAGGGCGATAGCGATTTAATAACGACGACAGAAATCGTTTCAATTTTCAAAGGTTAAACGCAATAGCGTGACATTTATTATCAAAAATATTTTGGAATTAAAAATCGTATTCGGTGATAAAAACGTTTTATCTCGCACGAGACCCACTAGTGGTAATAGTGATACAGGAAACTTGATGATAACGCGACGCCATCACGTGATTAGCACAATAATATAGACACTCGGTAACAATGGGGATTATAGTAATCGGTAATTACAATTGTAATTGGACGATATTTTATGGTTTCAAAACGTAATCGATCGAATTCATTATCTCGTCCATAAAAAAAAAACTCAAGCACTCTGTACTGCGGTCTGTTAAGGAAAAAAACGAATTATATTTCAGATCGATAGAACATAATTATCAGTAATAGTTTTTAATAAAAATTTATTGTTTCATATAATTAGCCCATAGGCAGGTCTACGGCTGCAACTTAGCGTGCCTATACTACCACTACAATTTTTAAAAAGCACCGGTCAACTGATATTTTATGCAGAACGGATTACCTATGATCCGGGTTGTAAATGCATTAGTAAATATTAGAAAACTATAAAGTATGCATTGTCAGCGTTCGAAATGGACCAAAACGGTGTTTTGATTCATAATATTATTAGCTTTTGTGTCCGTACCGGTTGGTTGAAATTAGAATTTAAAAGCTCTGGTTTGAAAAAAAAATTGCTATTTGGTAAGACATTTCTGACAGTACGACAAACAATAGAATTAAAATTATCAAATTTCCTTTTGAGAAAATATAATATAGAAGTTCTATTTTTATAGAAGTCTAAGGGGTTTGCATAACATTAATGATGTTGTAAATTAAATTACTGGAATAAATAATTTTAAAATATTTATAGACAAACTGTATTCTTTAAACCACCAATCTCCAAAATATAAAAATGAATTAGATAAGATAAGTAGCAAGTTCTTATACATTATACCTACATAGGTATTAAACTGTTAAGTATTTGCTTGTTGTGAATGCCTCTTAAACATTATTATCTTAACAATTCATTGATTCAGGTTTACCTACTTAATTTAAAAATATGTCATAATCTTATTCATAGAATCAATAATGTAAACAGTTTATCCTTAAAATATTCCAACATTACGTTGTTCGTTGCAATTAATATGAGAATGAGAACTAGGTACTTATTATTATTTAAATCTTATCATTGACATAATAACATTTTTTATATTCATATTATATAATAGTAATGTTTTGTAATGTTTATATTTACATAATGTTGGGTCTATACAATCAAGTTTAAGTTCTATTAATGTGACAGTTTTTTATAATTTTTCAAATCTGATTAGTTGAATTTAAATTCCCATTTAATTTCACACTTTATTGTAATTCATTTTCTTAATACATGAGTACATATATATAAAGATTTATAATTTGTAAATTGTACTTTGCATTTCTCAAGTCATAAAACTCTTGAGTATTGGCGGTCGATGAGTTTTTCAACATCCATTGTAAATATCAGGATTGAAACAAATAATACATAATTATTACATGAACTCAATATTATCTGTAATATACCTAGCTCGTAGAAATAATTTAAATATAAATACTATTCAAAAAATCCTTAAACTTATTAAAGAAAAAATTCAATATAATATTGTTAACTATTGTACTTTAAAATATCAAAATAATATATTTCACAAATATGCTAAAATGTTGAATAAAAATACAAATAATGTAAAAATTGCTTTTAAAACTAATAATAATTTAATCAAACATACAAATAATATAACTATAAAATGCCCCTTATTTTGAAAATGCTGTAATATATAAACATATATATAATTTTAATACTTTTTATATACTTGTAGGTAAGAAAAATATATATTTTAAAATAAGATATACAAAACACTCTTCTGAAATAAAATTTAAAAAGACTACCCCTAATTCAAATTTTGCTAAACATGTTTTAGAAAATAATTATAATTTACATTTTGATATCAATACAGACTTAGAAGAGTAACACATACACAATGAAATAAAGAAAAATAATTTTAATAACAATTTAAACGTACAAACCTATTTTAAAAATAATATCTTATATCAATATACATTTTGAATAATAAATAATAATAACCACAGTATTTATATTTTTTAATATGTCTATGTCTAATAAAAACTAATTTTAAATAATCTCTCCTATTAAAATAAACTATCTCTATGTAAAATGACTAATTTTTCTCAATGTATTCTTTCCTTTATTTGTTCATATTCATTCGTAATTATATCAATTTTGTATAGGTATACCTGACAAATTTTTAATTGTTAACTGGTATAACTTTAAAAATAAATTAATACTTAAGGCTAAGCCTTTGTTTCTATAAATAAACTAATTATATATTAATTTACGTGTGTTAATAATTTACTAATTTTTGTTTTATTACTATATTAAAACAATTTTGGTTAGACAAAAATTTTAAAAATATTATTAATACATTTCAAATTTTTAAATTTCTTGTACTTCTTTTTAAATAAAACATGATCACAGTTACTATTAAAACTTTTTTTTTTTAAGTATTTGAGTGTTACATTTTAACAATACTTGACAAAAATCACGAAAATCAGCAATATTTTTGTTGTTAAAAGTTCATAAAACTTACCATTTTTGCATTAAGAATGGTCCTCCTCATTAAATTGGACATTGATTCTATTTCAACAAATACCCATCTTTTTGCCCTCACAGTATACCAATTTCAACCAATATTTCGTTGTATCATACGTTGGCATTAACTTATAAATAAATACATTTTTTTTAATATTATTACTAAAGCACAAATCTTGGGGACAATAATCCCCCTTTATTTAGTAGGTGGGTAAGCAATTTATTAATACTCGGCGGTTAATTTTCATTAGGTATAACAGTAAGCATACGTCAATACAATTAGTAATATTATGTAATTTATATAATTTATATAAGCATCTAATATTTTTTTACACAGGAGGATATTGAATGTTTAAGTTTGATCTCCCCTCCCCTTTATAATTCCAGTTTGCACCGCTGTACTAAAGTAATTGATTAAATAGTCAATAAATAGTAAATAACAAAATTGATTCTTTAATTGAATCATGAATTTCAAGTGGTCCATCTCGATTTTTTATCAAAATAGACTTTGCTATATTTTTTTCATCTACACGCACCCTTGGTATTTAAGAATCTGTGTAATCGTGTTACTGAATATTGATGCACAAAACATTAAAATTTATTGCGATTTTATACGATACCTATGCCCGATCATTACGGGAGTTTCGAAGATTCCCGACCGGGCTAATTGATAACTTTCGTAATAATCACTGTTTTGTTGATAGCGCGCTGATATGGCAACTACGATTAGGTTATGTTAGATTGAAATTATTATCTGCTGACTCGTTCGGCGTACCTCGAACACCGACGAATTCACAGAAAAACTTGTCACGAGGTTTCTCTCTGGAAAAAAAAAAAATCTGTTATCCGTGTATCATTATCGTTTATAAAGTTTCGAAAATTTTTGTTATCGTCCCGGCGGCGATTTATCCGTATCACGAACATAATATTATTGTTATAGCATCTGAACGTTTTTCAAGTATAAATATTATTGTCGTCCGTACATTGAACGCAACGTTATGTTCGTTTTAATCTTACCGATTTAAAAAAGGTAATATCTATTATGGATTAAATAAAACTAGTGTTTAATCGTGACTATATTGTTAAAGACAATCGTCGCCGGCCGACCTTAACATTCGGTTTCAATTTTGTACATCGTCCTTCGCCGTCTCATCTTTTTCAGTATATTGTACTTTGCTGATGCTGACGGTGGCTGTATAGTTTTATTAGTAGAGCGCGGATTTGTATGCACTTGCATATTTATTCTGGTTTATCATATGATATGCTAAGTGAGCACAATATTTGTTTCATAACATAACAATTTAAAAAATGAAACTTTTTTAGCGCATATTTGGTTGGTTTTTAATGCATATAAATCCACGCTCTATTTATTAGTGTTGCTGTCATCGGTTAATGATATTAACGTGTACATGCTTTTGTCACTTGTTGTGGTCACTAATTTTAATTTTTTTTTTCTGTGATAGCGTTTTTATCAGCATTTGAAGTTCTACAATCCAGTTCCGATTTTATTGAATACAAATTTTTCAAATCAAAATATTATACTTCTACTGTTATGGCATCATATGAAGACAAATTGATATCGATGGACGGAATCGAAGATTTTCTCGAAAAATCTACATCCAATTGCACTGATAAATCTACTACCAAATGCCTTGAAGAATCTATGCCTGGAAGTCCTGAACCAGTTACATGTGAAAATCTTGACCAGTCAGTGTTTGAATGTCTTGAATCGATTATACGTAGAAGTCTTGAACAATTAATGTATGAAAATTGTATAGAATTTACATTTGAATGTCCTCAACAATTTTTATCTCAAAGTCCTAAACGACTTATGCCCGAAAATTCTGAACAATCTACATCTGAAAGTCCTCAACAATTAACATCTCAAAGTCCT